TTCATTGACAAGCTTATTTTTTTATATTGTTTTATATCTGCAGAGGCTCTAGACTGTACTGCATTCATGAAGGGATATTAATTAAATATAAATTTAAAATGTAAAAAGGTTACAGAAATCGTGACACAAGTGAATGTAAAAAAGTATTAGGCAATGACTTCTGGAAGATTGTCATAATGATCTTTTAAAAAAACAACTAGTACTAATAACAGACAATATTAGTAATATTCAAAAGTAAAACTAGATTCTTCACTGTACTCTTTGATGTATAAGAATTAGAGAAAGTATAGCAGCAATACAAATATACTCTAATACCAGAAAACTGTGCTATCCTGAGAAGTTCAAGTAATGACCTGATAAGACTTCTGTCACTTGGAATGGAATTATTTACTCTATGCCTGTTACAGAAACTTGATGTGGTATATATTCTAAAAGGGAACAAAGATCTTGTTTTTCAGCAATACTGCAATGAATTATTAAAAATTATTCCAGCTCTTAAATATCTTTTCTTACCCAAATTGAATGCCTTGATGTTATGGCACATGTAATTGTGTGACTAGATTCTGTTCTGCAGTCTGTACTATGCAGGAGGTAGGATTCATTGATCCAATAAGGCCTTATCACTGCAGGAAATGCATAATGATCTTAAGTATTTGTTGCTAAACAGTGCAGTTTTCATGAATTCATCCATCATACTTGTGTTTTTTTCTGCACGATCTGTCCTCTCTACTGTGAAAAGTGCCTTTTTTTTTTTCTTTTTTTTTTTTCTGTGTGTGTGTATGTATTTTGCAAGATAAACTATGTAGTAATTGACAGAAGGGTTTTTCTAGAGAAACTGCACGTTCTTACTCTGTGGAAACATGAGATAGCATATCCTTCTGAGAGAGAGGAATAACCTCCCTAACATTCACCAGCACACGCCTCAGGGTAAGAACACTGCATATGGGTAGCTCCTGAAAAGAAGTTGGTGTGGCAAAGATTCAAACATTGGTGTACCGTGGAATAACCTGTTTGTCTGCTCATGTCTTTAATTTTCTGATTTCAGGAATGTACTCTAATGCATTTGTTCACAAGCAGTAAGATGGCTACTGCCATTTCTCTCATTCAGTAAAATGAGAGAAAAATTAGTCAATTTTCATAAGTCTATATCAACCAAACTAACTTAGAACCACAAGTTTTTTGTAAAACAAAAATAAACCAACTTGTTCATTATTCCCATGAAAACCTCATAAAATCAATACAGAAGAAGGAGTGAAAGAAAGGTTGCTCTTTAATTTCCGTTCCTTCTACAGTGGTTTTAGTAAACAGAAGCACCTCCATTTCTATTAATGAATTTGAAATTTGTGCTATTATTTTGCAGTTTCATTATTGAGCAACTAATAATCAGCTATTTGCCTTGAAATCAGGGTTATATATTTTTTCTACGGTTTTATTATTTTTACTGTTTATTTCAAAAAGTATCTCCTGTGTAGGCACCTGTACTGCTCACTTCCATATTTTTTTTTTTCTCTGTCTAAATAATCCTTTTCATCTCTAATTTTTCAAGCCAGAGTATCTTAAATCCTTCTGTTAGTACTAAGCAATTTCCTTCAGGCTTTTTTCCCTTTTAACAGACATACGTACTGCAGATTCAGGATGTTAAGTAAATCTTTATTTTGAAAGGATGCTCACAACAGTGCTTTTATGTAGCACTAACATCTTCAGTAAAGTTTTTTACATAATTCACTTAAATGTTTTCTTTAGTTAATGTCCAGGAAATGTTCTTTCCAGTACTGTCTGCTGTAGAATTGTTATCTATAAATCACGACCCCTAATGTAACTTCACTTGCACAGAAGACATAGCTTAGGGGTTTTAGGCACTTAAGCAGATAGCAATTTAAAAAGTATGGTTTTCTAAAAGTGATTTTAAAACACCACACTGATTGCACAGTTTTCAGTACAGTATAATCATACTGTTGTTATTACTAATGCCAATGGAACACCTGAGTAATGATTTTCCAATGAAATTGAATAGTTGGTTAGTCAAGGCTATCTAGCCCAGCTTCTCTCATTAAAAACTAAAGAGCTTCTTCTACTCTTCTGGACTATTTTACAAGTATTATTATTGAAAATGATTTTTAGTAATGTAGTCTAAAACAAATATTGTCCAGTTCTACTTAATTTTTAAATTTACTTTGATGGTATTTAGTTAACGATTCTGTTTTCAATGGCAAGAATTTTATTTTTAATTATTTAAATGCATGGAAGGATAGGAGTTTTTTTTATGATGTTAGTATGCAAGTGGTTCATACAAAAAGTCTGAAACTTACTGATGGCACTACTGTGTAAGCTTTACTTTTTCTGGTATGGCAACTGGAAATCAACTGACCTTTAGATAACTGACCAGTTATCTACATACAGTGGCTGAACAGATAAGGAGTTCTGCTTAAGAGCGTCAGCTGGGAATTTCAAGTGCCAAATCTGTCTCTCATTATTATGATAATATTCTAAAGCTACTTCCACAAAATCTGCTCTTTCTTGTCAGTAGAAAATAAATGTCTGGATTGAGGAAAAAAATGAAGAGAAATTATTGTTTTATTTGGAGATAGTTTGTCAGTTTAAAGATGGCGTACTAGTTCTAGCTTTGATGAGAAATCAGAAAGGGAACTGAAAGCTTTTCCAGAAAGTCTGAGCTGCTTAGGCCTAATGAGGTAGCTGTGGGAAAAGCACTGATGCCATAGAATTGTCCAACATCCTGTCCCATCCAGGAAAACAACTAGCTTTCAGCCCAGTTCTTCAAGGGAACAGCAGATAGATCCTCTTATCAGTCAGTGCTCATCAACTCTTTCATTTCCTGGAGGGACAGGAAAAGCATTAACAACTGCCAAAATGTTGGGGGCATCCTGGAGAGAAAATTAGCTCTCCAGGGCAAACATGCAAAATCTCAGACTGCTTCAATCAAATTAAGAGTGCAGACTAGCAAAGTAATGAACAGTTGACTATGATTATGGATAGCAAGGTAATCCATTTTGTAGCACAGGGAATTCTCACCGCACATCTTCATTACATTTCAGCTTTAGTAGTATTTTAAATTCAAAATTTATTTAACTATTTTCATTTTTCATTTCAATCAAAGGAGATTAACATATTTCTCTTAGCCAATAGCCCCGTGTCTTCATTCCCACGCATACAAGAAGCATAGTCTGTGCATTCTTATACAGGAATGCCTCTTTTTGTCTTCTTATTTACTCGGACTCCATGTCTTGCAAAGCATTTCATAAACTGCTTTAGAGAGCAATTTCAAACTTCTGTCTTTTAAGTATTTTCTGCTGTGCAGTAATAATTATTAAACCATCTACTCCAGTGGTATTCCTTCTTCAAAATTAATTTCAGCACCCACTGTTAGCAACTACAACCATCAACTGATATATCTGTGAGAGGTAGTGAATACCTTTTGAAAATTTAGTAGAGAAGATAGTGCACTTACATAGGTGGATTTTTGAAATTTGTTTAGGTAGACAAATCATTAAATTACCAGCATAACTTAATAAATAATAATCCCATATGTATAAGTATAATGTGATATGCCAGAGGTAACTTGAAAGGAAATTTTCTCTATTTTAACACCAAGAACTTCATGAAAGAGTTTCTGGATTGTAGTGGCATTGTAACCAGTTTATATGTTAACGTGCTCTAGCTCACCAAAGAGACTATATTACATCCATTTTTACCCGATAAGGAAACTTGAGTGGCATTTGAGTCTAGTGTATAGCAAGAGAAAATAGCAATATGATAGGAGTTGTATAGGTAGAGAATGTAAAAACCAGTTCTAAATGTTTTTTTTCATTTCGAGTTTGACCCACCTAAGGCAGGATAACTAAAAGAATCACTAAGATGTTAAAAAGAAAAAAGTAGAAGGAAAAAAATGTTTTTCAAGTGAAGCAATTTTCTTGGATTTAAGCAATAAAATCAGGTCAACTAGAGATGAAAAGTTTCAGCATTTTAATTTGCCAAACTCCTTCTTCTCATTTTTCTCTTCTAGTTCAACCTAAACACACCCTTGAATTCCCCTTTATTGTTCTGTGGTCTCCATTCTATCAACATTAATGGTTAATTCTCCTTTAATGTTTAATGTTTGTGTACTCTATCTAAGAGTAATATAGTCAAAGCTAGATGCTCATATTTCTTTCTGCGCCTTTTTGCATTTATTTTTCTCCCTATCTGTTGTTTCTGGAGCCACCAATACCCTTTGTTAAGGTACAATCTTAATCCTTACTGCAGAAGTAGGTGTACAAACTGTATAGAAATGTTACCAACTTCTTCAATAATTTATTTTCAGTATTTGAATGTACCAGCCTGACTAACTGCTTTACTTATTTTGATCCTTATGTACTGTTTTCATCACTGCAGTCACTTGGCCTTTTGTAAATAATCCAATAATAATTCAAAATACCATTAATGTTATTTTCAAACCATTTGTCATCATCAACTCACCATTTTTACATCAGGAATAATCATATCATTCTTATTTTCAACACTCTCCAAAATCATGATCCTTATTACATAATAAACCTAACATCTTATGAGATTGCTCAACCATATTACTCTGATAATAGTGTCAAATTGACTCTGTTACACACTTTTTCCAGTTTCCCTATGCTTTCTTTAATTCTCCCTATAGTCAGATACTTCCATAACCTTTCTCACAAAGTTATGTTGCCGTGCTTCACACCAAAGATTATCCTCTTCACTAATGTTATATGTTTGGGTGTATCTTAAAAAAATATGATTACAGATCTGTCAGACCAAGTATATATATTAAAAATTCTTATTAAAAATAAGGCTTTTTATTGAAAATGAGTTTGGACAGAAGTCTATTTTAGTTAAAAAAAAAAAAAAAAAAAAAAAAAGTAGTCACTTTCTATATTGAATAAGTTACAGAAGGCTCCCCAGGTTGGACTCAAATTGCAGACATTTTGGCCGTGCCTATTTGTGTTTCTTTTTCCTATTTCACTATTGGACAGTGGGCCACTGCTTTCAGAAGAACCTTGCCTTTCTGATCCTCTTGACCTCTGGAAATGTTTGCCCGTTTTTAAGACTGATCTACAAATTAAGGTAGGTAAAGACATGTTACCCTGTTTTGGAAGTTGATTAAGAGAGTGTGAAGTAGTCTGTCACTGACCACAGCAAGTTGCAGAGAAGGTGAAAACACCAGAAGGATAAAACTGGATACACAAGTAAAACGAGATCAGATCAGAAATCATAAGCTACAGGGGCTGAGATCAAAAACACCCTAGGGGACTCTAATCTGAGATCAAAGAAGTGTTTCAAACCACTGAGGAAACCGAGACAAGGGAAAGCATGTAGGTGTTTTTAATCTAGATTTGTATACTTAGCCTAATATAGAAGGTGTGGATATTTGCTATCTTTATAGTCTGTACGGTAGATTGCTGTACTTTCATTTGCCCTGAAGAGGTGAAGCCTCTTGAGTTTTCTTTTCTTTCTCTTTCTTTTATGAGCAGTCAATCCTAGTCATTACAGCACTATGAGATTGAATGTTCTTTCCTCTGTGAAGAGTAACCATGAAGGCTGCTTTTGAAAATATCCTATTGTGCCAATGAAAACAAGGATCTAGTACTACGGAAAGGATTAAAAATTTCACTGTGGCAGAACCTAAACAGAGCAATCACTTTCAGATAGCAGTATCAAAGCCTATTTTTCTTTGCGTGTATGTGGTATTGCTTTATACACTGATACTGATCTAGGTGGCTGATGCTCTGAGTGTTATTGCTATACAGTTTCTGAAAAGAAGTCCCACACCATCAAACCTGAGCATATTGATGGACAATGTTAATTCTCTGATGCATTTCTGAAGTAATATTCCCAAAAGCCCCATGAGTGAATAAATGATTTAATTTCTTCTTTTCAAAGTGATTTGAATGATACTGATACACATTAAAGAAAATAAGCAGATATAGTTTGTAATCATATTTTTTTTTTATTTATTTGTAGGAAAGATTTACTAGCCCCCAGGAATTTCAACGCTCCTTTTAGCAGATTGGTATGAAATAGTAAGGAACTTGTCGAAACTGGTAACAAGAGGATGAAATTCCCTAAATCTGTTTTAACGTGTGCATTCACCTTTTGCTCTCTGTGTGATTTAGACAGAGGATATATTGTGATTAGGCTACAGTTGGCAAAAATTTGAGTTCTTATCCAGCAGACACGATCTCCTAGGTTCTACCCAGGACTTAATAATTGTAATGTTCTGTTCAAACAATCTCTATTTATATTTCAAGATATCAATTCACATATCACTGGAATATTATAAGATACAGATAAAGTGCATTTCCAAACTGTCATGTAGAAGGGCATGTGCATGCCTTGTAGTATGAGACAGCTAGAAGGACCAGCTTAAACAAATATTTCGTAAACATGTTACAAGTTTTGGAATGCATAATTAGAAAAGAACAAGAGCATCTTCTTGCACTGCAATATCAGCATGAGTATCTGGAAAATACATTAATTTTCTTCAGTACTGTTCTAATTGCTACCTCAAGATTTTTCACAACATTGCTGAAAGTGTGTTATAGTATTGCATTTTTAAAGCAATTTTTTTTGAGCATAGTCCTGGAAAGGGACTGAAAGTCTTCAAATATTTCAGAATGCCACTTTTTTGACAATTTGAAAACGTTCTGTTAGCCACTAAGTTTGCCACAATGCAGCTAAGCTTTGCACATTTTCATAAAAATTTCTCTTTCATTTTGATTTAATATGAAAATGTATAGTAGAAGTTAATTTGATTTCACAGACTCTGTAACTCCTTTCTATTTCTTTATGTTCTACATGATACTGTAGAAGTGTGTAGATGTGTTGTTTATTGGAAATTCCAAACCAACAGAAATAAATATAATTAATAATAAAGTTTATTATACCGTCACATAAAAGTAGAAAAAAAAAAAGAAAGAAAGAAAAAAAAAAGGCTGGAATCCTTTTCGAAACAGTTATTTAACTGCAGCCAGAAATGTTCCCAGTATTACAGCTACATCTGCAAAATAACACAAAATCCTACAGAGGTATATATGAAAGTGTTGTTATCATTTTTGAATGATTTAATATTCACCATTAATTACCTTAATTATTTTCAGTAAACCACTTTTGGAACTTATATTGAATAGATGATGGCATGATGTTTAAAAGATATTCTGTGAGAAATTAACCACTTCACACATTCAGAGCAAGCTTCTGGACTAAGATCAGAAGCAACATAAAGAAGATCACAGGTTTCTATAGTTTAATTATGTACAGATGCTTATCTTCTAATAACAGATACATATCATTCATGATATTCCCTATAAAAATCTCTACAAATACACCATTCTCCTATTTGAAGTATTACTGAATGCACTTGCCTGTGAATTTAATATCTTTGAAAGTACTGCAGACATCTGAAATTGGTTGTTGAACATAAAAAGATATCTGAATTACTGATTGAATTACCAAGAAATCTAGCCATCATTATTGGTACTTGTTCAGGAGAAGGTATTGGTGCACAAGTATCTTGTAGATTCGAGAGCTTTTCTAAAATACCTGTATGATTTTACAACAACAAAAACAACAACAACAAAATAATAAAATAGTAAACAGTAGAAATCAAACCTTTAAATCCTTCGTCTGATTTGACAGGGAGTTATTGCAAAGTATTTGTGTGTGAATGGCTGGATATTCAGAATGAGATAGCATTACAATTTTACAGATTGCTGGTGTGCTAATCTATAATTTTTTATTATAGATAGGACAACATATACTGAATGACACTGTCAATTACTGAGTTTTCAGTTTTACACTTGTGGAAGCACATCAAATGTGTTAGGATGTTTTCCATCGGAAGTATTAGAGGGAACCTGCAGGATTGTTTGCACATCCAATTTCAGTCAGCAAAAAAATGCTGAGAAATTACCTGTAGCGTAGACCATTAAAGTCTCTTTATTTCATACTGATTTTAATATATATATCTATAGCTTACAATATTAGATTTGTATTATGATTCTGTGTTTATAAACATAGATTTACCCTTTGGTTTTTTATGATTCTCTTGCTATGAAAACATTTTTCGTATGTTGATGTCATCATTACAAATTTCTTCTTATATGTATTGAACTAATAAAAGATGTAAGCCCAAAATATGGCATAAGTTTATATCTATAATGTATGGTTTTGGCTACTTGACTATCAACTGAAATGGAGATGTACATTTCTAAGGTTGTTAATTAATCAACTTTTGCTACTTTCTTTTATAATTTTCTACTTTAGTTAAACCTGCTTATTACTTGTTGTTTTTATTATTATTATTATTTTATTATTATTATTATTATTATTATTATATATATGTTATAACTTTTTATTATTATATCTGGTTGTTATTATTATTATTATTTTATTCCTGTGTATTCTCTTGAATGGAGCTTCTTCTCAGCTAAAATTTCTTTTCCTGTTCCTTAAAAGTCTTCTAAAATCTCACTTATTATACTGAGAAATCAGAAAATATCAGATCAAGAGACCTAGTCCAAACTTAATTTATCTTCCCCACCTACTCTATGAATATGAATCACACAATATGATCTTTAATTTGAAGTTTAAATGGCTTTTTTTCCCTCCGTATTTTCCTGCTTTCATTAAAAGTGGCCAGCTAGTATTTTTTTCTGTATGAGCTTCACTGTTAAGTGGGATTACTTCCGGACTCACTTCTAAAAGTACTTAAGATTCTAAGATTTAATTTATGAAGGCGTCTATGCCTGTCACTCTAGAAATCTCCCTTGGGCACTAAAAAATCCTGGAATACCAGAAACCTACCTCAGGGAACTCTCTACCAGGCGTGGTGGTTTCCAGGGCTGCCGAAGGAACTAATCTTATGCTTCTCTCCCATAGAGCATACTTGGCCCACATCTGCTTCAAGAGACACAAACTCACTGTGCTCATGTTCCAAAGGAAGTAACACGCCACAGCAGCAAACCCGATCAGTCCTATTGCAAGGTAGAGTTTATTACTCAAGCTCACTGCCTTTTTTTGATTACATGGACTTTAGATTACTGAAAGCAGTTCAAGCTGTGTTTGCATTTGCTGAGTAACAAGATAGCTTTTGAATGCCAGCTTTATAATAGGGAAGTACAAGCTATGCTGCAGAGATCTGGCAATTCAAGTCAGCCTGGTTTAGTGTCCAAGCGTTCATTTCCTTCTGATTTGAAAATTTAATTCTTATTCTCTCACCCTAATTAGAGAGGTAGATGTGATCCTTTCCAGTACGAATTATCTGATGATCTATTGCATGCTAGTAGTTCTAATCCTTTGGAAGGTGAAAGATTTGGAGTACACACTTTTGCTTCATGTTTTCTGAAATCCTTTCCATGTTGAATGTACTTTCTACATACACCAGTCTGTAGAATTTTCCATGTGCATTGTCTGGAGACATTAAATACTAATTGACTTGTATTACAGAAGATATCCTCACTGCAAATAAAGTGTTACAATTAGGAAGAAATTTATAGAGAGACATATCTTCCTAAAACTCCCTTCCAATGATACACAAATGATGTTGCTTGATCTGTTTATTTTTTTGAGCATGCATGTATTTCTCATATTTCTACAAACCAGTAACTTTTTAATCAAGAAATAAAGAAATAAAACAATGATTTCATTTGAATTATTTGTGACCCACCATAAAAAAACACAGTTTTCAATGAAAATTGACCTAAAGTTTTACACCTTTAATTAAGGCAAATATTTGGGTCTATTATGCCTTCATATTACGTTTTTTAATTGAGAAGATCACTGATCTTGTGCTTAATGAAGCCCAATTTCTAAAATGGTATCTAAAGAAAAAGATACAGTAGCTGAGAAAAAATACAAAGAGTATGATACTATCATCATACTCAAACATGGTGTGCTCACTTATCACAGGATTCTAATTTCAAAAGACAATTGGTATCTTTTAAATAATTTTAGGAGAAACAACATAGCAACCCTCTCAGAAACTTTCTGCAAGTGAACTTTCAGAATCTAAAAAGCTCAAACAACATAAGAAATGCTACGGGCACACCCTCTGTTTCCACAGGACATGTTCTCATTCAGGAAGTTTGGGGCTAATTACTTTTAATCAAGGAGTCGGACAAGCATATCCTTCCAGCTTGGACGATATGCATCTGGTGAGGTTAGGAAGAAATTCTGCTGATATTCAGGTAACTGCTACATGGGAAAATATTACCACTCATTCCTCTGTTTAGCAAAAGTTATTAGTCATAGTTGAGTCACAAGTGAGTGGCAAATAAATGGATGAGCAGGATGACCTTTTAACTTCCTTCTCATCTTCCTTTTCCACACCCTTCTCTACAAATATTTGTTCTGGGGTGTTGTATTCTATAACAAAGAATAAAAAATATTAAAAAAAAATGCTTTTGTTAAGTATGTTTGGTAGTTATTTGAATGAAACTGAGTTACTTCCAAACCAAATGTATCGACATGATTTTGCAAATGGCTATTAGGGATTTCACTCTGAGAGACTGAGGAATGAGTCCTATAATATTCTCAGATTTTTGCAGTGTTTTATTTTTTATTGCCAAGTGTGTGAATAAACAAAGGGAAATTTCATTCCCTTATACCATTGAACAGTTAATTTTTTTTCATATAAGACTTTTCCTACTTAGCTACATAGTCAAAAATTTTACAATTTAACATTTGATTTATTATAGCAACTTTTTTCTGACATTGACAAAACAAATCTGTATGTTTGTATAAATATTGCTTGCAGCTATTGAATTCATCTACAAAGACTATGCTCCTGCCCATGTCACACATTGCTTTGTAGCTTGGCATGCATTCTTCCTTCCTTCAACAAAACAAGTCATTTGTTTTCACTTTGAAAACAGTAATTGATTTTATTCTATTTCTCAGTTTTCATTCATAGCAAAAAATCAGCTGCCACTTCCAGTCAGGCAATACTAGTTTTTCTCCCATTTACTATGTTTTAAAGATGGATATTCCATGTGCACTTCCTCCCAGAAATCCCCCAAGTCATGAAGTTGTTCTCTTAACATTTTTCCCATTGCTATCATACCTTAAAAACCCAGGGTAAAGTTCCAAAGGGTGGGAAAAAAATGAAACAAAATCATGAACTATTCATTTTGCTGCTTGTGGCATGATTATGGATGAAGCACAATTTGCAGCTCGTATCTTTATATCGCCAAGTGAGGACAATGACAATAGCAAGGTACAGTGGAAAAGAGAGCACAATTTATTCTCAGTATCCAAGGTGGACAGAATTAAAATTTTTGTAGCATGAATAAAATTGGTTACAGTTTAGGAAAAGAAAAATTAACACTGTCACTTTCTATAACTAAGAAATGTTGGGGGACCATAAAATCTGCTTTCTCAAAACTATCTCATTTAAGGTTAGGCAAAAATCATGTAGGGGTAACAGAAAATGGGATTTTGGCCTTTCAGGAGCATTTCCTATTCTTGCTGTTAATTTCACACATAGATAGGCATTTAATGTTGCTAGTGAGACTTGGTTCATGATTTCAAAAGTCAGGAAAAAATCCCACATCATTTTAAGAAGTACTTAAGAAGCAGGGTAATTCTATACCAAGCCAACTTCATAGTCAAGAAACGTAGTGTAGACAGTTATTTGAAGTAGAATATCTTTGTGGTCTTTATTATGTTTTAATCAAGGGAAGGTTTTACTTTTATTATTTTAACTTTTTTTTATGGTTAGTTTTATGGTTATACTACTTGAAGGATTCCTTTTCTTCCTTCAAATCTATTTTCAAGTTAAATTTCTTGGCTTGTATTAGATATTTGTCTGTATCAAAAAAGGTAACTGGGAATTTTGCAAGCCTTAAATAAAGGAGTAGAAGCACAGAAAACATTTACACAGTCATATTTTTTTCTGATACTTTTGTTTATACAGGCCGTAAGCAAAACAAAAATGAAAGGGTTGGGTTTATAAACTCTATTTGCCTTGAACATCTGAAGCTTCACAGAACAGATAGGGAAAAAAAATAAAAAATTAAAAATTAAAAAAGACCAAAAGGAAGATATTAATTTGAGTCATATCAGAAGGAAAAAAACACCTCTGCTTGTGAAGAACTGTGTAAGAACTAACATTAAAATCTTGAAACTTTGTCTACATCAACAGTCTGCAATAGTCAAAGCAATGCAGATGTCACTAATCAATGCAATTAAAGATAACTTCTTGGCTGCTTCACCATAGGCAATGAGTCATTACGCCTTTGGGCAGCAGTGATTCAGTGGAGTAGACACCTGGTCTTGATAACCAAACTTTCTCTACATATTCTTTCTTTACTACATTGGGGGCAAACTCAGTACAGATGATTTTATGAATCAAAGAATGTCACTGAACTGAATAAAAATCTATTCCCCTTTTTTCTAACCAAATTGAAATCAAGGGATACTCTGATTTCTTCAACAAAACCTCCTGAATGTTCCCAAATCTAAAGTACTTTCATTTTACTTGTAAAAAGGCAACCAGGTGAGAAAATGAGGTTGATTTTGTGTGTGTTGTTTGTTATTTTTCTTTTTGCAAATAGAACAGAATAAATTTATCACAGCTCTGTTTGCATTACACACATATTACGCACACTTTCTGTGATCCACACTAAACCATTATACGCTGTCTCAGACTGTGGGAAAAGGAAAGAAAATAATCAGAATATGGGAATAATTTTTGTTTGATCCTGAAAGATTTTATAATTACATCCCTGTAATTCTGATATTTTTAGTGGTTTTATTGTATTTAAAAAAAAATATATATATATATCTCCATCAAAGAGATCACTCTAATAGTTTTTTCTACAGTTTGTAGTACCTGTTGCCATACGCTGATTCTAAACACAGATTTACACACAGCTGTATGACCTCAGGTCTGCCCAGCTTGGGAGCATGAGCATGTATTCACAGTAAACATACTTGAAAACACACATATATAACACCACAAATACACACATGTGCACAAACTGGCAACACTCAGTCAGACACTCTTAGCACTCATGCGAATGCAAACAGTACCAGTGGCCTTGTCCAGCCCCTGTCCCTGGTAGGGCAGGATGGAGATCCACTCATGGGACTTCTGTGAGAAGTTGGGTGACTCCAACATTCAGTCTCTCCAGTAACTATTCATGGATCCCAGCTCCCCCAGTTGCTGGCACTTAGACATACAAGCCCATGAGTCTGCAGTCCCTATCCTGTTGCTGGTAGAGATCCACACAAAATCACACAACACCACCAAATGATTTTGCCCCTAGACCTCATGGTCCCTCTGACAGATGCCTGGGACTCCCCTGGTCCCCCCTGTAGACAGATTGTCCTGTGGTTCTTCCCTTGGAGACACTCAACCTTCCTCCCAGGCCAGTTCAACTACTTGCAGGCTTGATCTTTGGTAGAACACACACACCCACTTACAATTCTGCACTTGCTGCAGACTCTACACCATGGGTTTATATCACAATAGAGGCAGGTGCTTATTTTCACTTACTGCATTATCCCCAGCTGCTGTCAGGAAGGCACACAGACATTCCGTGGGACAGCTTTGGAGGTATCCAGACATGATGTCGGCTTCCCTTCATCCATAACTTGTGTTTCCCTTCCTGCCACAGTGCTACTCTCTGCTTGTATACATGGATATTTGAGGAGCTGAGCTCATCTCCTGTGATGAACCTAGAATTAGATTATTTTAGTTCCCCCATCTACCAGTATCCCTCTGAACTTCTTGGTGTGAACAAAGAACATCCTTTAATCACATAACCTAAAAGCTTCATCACTGTTTTCTCCATTAATGGGTTTAGCTATTAGAAAATAAGATCAAGTACATTAATGGGTTTAGCTGTTAGAAAATAAGACCAGCAATGGTGATAAACTGTCTTAAATATTCATAGGCCCATAGTGGTCTTGTTAAGAACAGAACTGTGAAAACTCAATTTTCTCAACTCAGATGAAGGGATTTAGGAAAGTGGGTTATTGTGCCTGACAGATGAGTGTAACTTGGTGATATATAAGCTAAGGTAATTGCAAAAATGTATCCAACTTCAACAGTAGGGTGTGGAAAGCTATGGGATAAGGCAGTGAAAACAGTGAGTATTCCCATTACTGACTCCCAAAAAGCCTACTCTCTAATATGTGAAATATGATTTAATTATGTATTTTTAAATGTAAATATGAGTAATAAGTGTAAATAAAATTGAATTGTAGAGGAGGTAAATAGAAAAAGATATTAAGACTCCATACTGAAATAAGATAACCTGATTAACTATGCTAAATTAATTTCAGTCTCTTTAATTTAGCATTTTTAGCATTTAGCACCTTAGTATTTTTACAACAGTAATTGTATTTTTCAAATAATAAGCGTTAGAGCATTAGAATGAGTCCAGAAATTGAATCAGACATGAATCTTCTATAGGTGGCTGATTTTGATTTTGGTGAGACATTTGTTTCAAGAAAATGAATGTTATTAATTTTAACTGAGCAAATATGGTATATTCAGATTTGATTAGCATGTCATTATGTTATCAGGTAAGCGTAAAGGAGATTTTTCTTAATGCTCTGCTTCTTAATCATGGAATCATGGGATATCCTGATTTGGAAGGGACCCACGAGAATAATTGACTCCACACAGTGCTACCTAAAAGTTAGATCATATGTCTAAGAGTGTTGTCTAAACACTTCTTCAACTCCAGCAACTCAGTGCCATCACTACTGCCCTGGGGAGCCTGTTCCACGCTCAGCATCTTCTGGTGAAAAACCTTTTCCTAACCTCATGTGACCCTTCCCTGATGGAGTTCCATGGCCTTCCCTTGGGCCCTGTCACTGCCACCAGAGAGCAGAGCTCAGTACTGTCCCTCCGCTGCCCTCATGAGGAGCTGCAGGTCGCCATGAGGCCCCCCTTGGATTTCCTCTTCTCCAGACAATGCTTTCCCTGAAGAGCAGGAAGTGCTGGCTTTGGTGCATCCCAGGGTATGGTTGTCCCTTTTGGCTGCCTGGGCACATTGCTGAATCACATGCCACTTCCCATCAACCAGAATCCCCAGATTCCTTTTTGCAGGGCTGCTTCCATCCTCTCATCTCCCAGTCTCTAATTATATTTAGAGTTGTCCCACCCCAGGTGAAAAATCTGGTACATTTGCATTTGATGATTTCCCAGCCCTCTAATTAGTCAGCTTCTCTCTGCAAGACTTCTCTACCTTCAAGAAAGTTAAGAGCTCCTCCCAGTTTAGTGTAATCTGCCAATGTACCTTCTAGTCCAATATCCAAGTCATTGATAAAAACATTAAAGAGAACAGGCCCTACAAGGGAGCCCTGTGGAACCTCACTAGTGACTTGCTGCCAGGCTAACAGAACCTCATTTATTATAACTGTTTGAGCCTGAATCATCAGCTGATTGTTCGCCCTTTGGATAATGTTTTTGTCCAGCTATATGCCGGACATTATGTCCAGAAGGATACAGTGAGAATTGATATTGAAATCTTTGCTGAAATCCAAACTGTTTGCATCAACTGGCTTCTGCATGTGAATAACCTTGTCATAAAGGTCATTTATTTATTTATTTAATAGGACTTTCCTGTCATATACCCAATGTTAGCTATGACCTGTGACTGCACTGACTTTCAGATATTTTTCAATAATTCCTAGCATAATCTCCACAATGTCACCAGGCACCAAAAATGAGACAGATGAACCTGTAATAACCAGTGTCTTCTTTCTTGCCCTACTTGAAAATTTGGACAACATTTGCTTGCTTCTTGACATTTCTCCAGGTAATTTTAGGACTATTGAAAAATAATTGAGAGAAATCACACAATGGTATCAGCCAGTTATTTGAGTACTCTGTGTTGGATCCCATCTAACCACATAGACTTTTGTGTTTCTAGGTGGAGTAGCAATTCCAGCGTCATCCAAATGAGCTTTAGCCAGATTAATTTTCTCCCTATGGATGATTTACACAGAGGAAAGAAAGAAATCTGCATGAGTGATGCTTGATATGCTAGTTCAAATATTTAGGTTATTTTTTGTTTCTTTAAATCATTAGTATTTTGGAAGTAGAAGAAATTTTTTTACAATTACCAAGCCACAGAACCAATCCCTTTGTAATTTTAAGTTCATATATGCAACATAGATGAGTAGATGATGGGGTGCTGTGTTAATATTACATATACTGTATGACTTTTATCTTGTAAGAAGGCATGAAATCTCTGCTAATAAGTATTCTATGTAAGGATATGTACTGTAAGTGGAAGAATAGATACGTATGGTTAAAGTCCTGAATCTTGTTTTTATATACTTGAGTCCATATAGAATGATGTCAAGCCGGAATGGCTTCCGAACCAGGCTCTAAAATTCATGGTTCATTTGTGTGTGATACATCTTGATTACACAGATGAAGAAAAAAATTTCACAGCAAAGCTCTGGTACTAATATCATTGAGCAGAATTGTCATTGTGGCCAAATGTAGCAGTTTCATAAGATGATGCTACCAGAATGGTTTGTCTGGTAGACAGCATTTTCCCAAAGGAATGAGCACAGCTGGTTACACCACATACCTTGGGACTTGGATATAATTAATATAGTCAGAATTTGACAAAATAGAAATGAGAAGAATATTCAAAGAAACAATTATCTGTTTGACATGGAGTCTGGAAGTTAGGATACTAGACACAGTGGATTTTAGCCCAAGATTTCACCTGAGTGACTACTTTTTTTCTTAAGAAGATACATACCTGGCAATAGAATAGCAGTTGTACATCTATGAAAATGAATGAGGAAATGAATATTAAAAATGCAAGGTAATTATTACATATACTGAGTGACTGTGCCAAGAGTCCAGTGATGCCATGTTGTATAAATATTTAAATTTACTTCATGATACTTTAGAAATAAAGCATGCTGGCACTTTGCCTTTTATTAAGCTAATCACACCCAGTAAAAAAAATATATATATATTTTCCAGTCAGCCTTCTGGAAGGCATTCATCAGGGCTTTGCTCAAGAGCATTTTATTATTTCACCTGTGGCAGTATTGTAAAATAACAAATTATTTTAAGAAGAGCCCTGATGTTTATTAAGAATGTGTTAGCTCCTGTTATTAGCTTGTCAACTATAAACAGAAGCTGGGACTGGGCTGCTAACATTTTTACCATAGCTCTCTAGCTAGCATCGATTCAATACCATTCAGACACAATCTCACATCTGTGGTCTGATTTTTTTTTTTAAAGACTTATTTATTTGTTTAAATAATTATAAAATTATTTTCAGTTTGTGTAGACTTAAAGGATAACACATATTTTCCACACAGAGATGAATAATGATCAGATTTTCACTCTGGAGTTTTATGAGATCTGCTGCTGGTCTGGTCATGAGCTATATGGTTCAACTGAAGACTTTAATGAAAGCAAACAGAATAAATCTTCATTTTTGCCTTTAGATGAAATCTGAGCTGACAGACTTTACCAAGAATGGTTTCAGGCATAGATTTTTGTATTTTCTAGAGAGTGATACTGAATGGAGCCAAATTCAGCTGGCAACTGGTCACGAGTTGTGTTCCCCAGGGGGTGCTGGGGCTTGTCCTCTTCAATATCTTTATTGACGACCTGGATGAGGGCACTGAGTTCACCCTCAGTAAGTTTGCGGGTGACACCAAGTTGGCTGGAAATGTTGATCTGTGTGGGGGTAGCGAGGCCATACAGAGGGATCTGGACAGGCTGGATAGCTGGGCTGAAGCCAATTTGATGAGGTTCAACAAGGCCAAATGCTGGGTCCTGCACTTTGGCCGCAACTATGCTACAGGCTTGGGGAGGAGTGGCTGGAAGACTGCCTAGAGGAAATGGACCTGGGGGTGTTGATTGATGCTCATCTGAACATGAGCCAGCAGTGTGCCAAAGTGGTCAAGAAGGCCAATGGCATCCTGGCTTGCATCAGAAATGGTGTTGCCAGCAGGAGCAGGGCAGTGATTGTCCCCCTGTACTCAGCTCTGGCGAGGCTGCTCCTCGAGTACTGTGTCCAGTTTTGGGCTCCTCACTGCAAGAAAGACATTGAGGCCCTGGAGCGGGTTGAAAGAAGGGCAACAAAGGTGGTGAGGGGTCTGGAGCACAGGGCTTGTGAGGAGCAGCTGAAGGAGCTGGGATTGTTCAGTCTGGAGAAGAGGAGGCTCAGGGCGGACCTTGTTTCTCTCTATAACTGCCTGAAGGGAGGTTGTAGTGAGCTGGGGGTCGGCCTCTTCTCTCGTGTAACTAGTGGTAGATCTGGAGGGAATGGCTTCAGACTGCACCAGGGGAGATTCAGGCTGGACATTAGGAAATACTACTTTTCTGAAAGAGTGGTCAGGCACTGGAATCTGTGATTCTGTTATTCTGTGATTTCTCTTCATTATATGTTCTCCTTTGTTAGCAGGTTGTTAGGAGTCAGAGGAAATGGTTGCACCAGAAAGCTGTTCGTGTGTAGTCCTATTCCTAGTGTCCCAGCTTTGCAAGGACTTCGAAGGACTGCATTCATTGTCTATGTGAGCTACATATATGGCAGGCAGTGATTTGTGTGAAACTTAGGCCATGACTGAGACTGCGACAGTGAAAGAAACAGATGCAGGAAAACAAAACAAATCACGAAAGATGACTGAGAAGTCTGCCATTGCTTGCTAAACTCTGTGAGAATGGGAATTTAAGACATATTTTAAGCTTCCTAAATTCTGTTTGGTGTTCCTACTATATTACTTATCCAATAAGTTCATTATGATACGTGTTTATCTACTTATCCAGTAAGTTCATCATGATATGTGTTTAAATAGTAAGCTGCCATCTTCTGTACACAAGTCCTGCTACTGCTTTCTTTTTGTTTCTTTTTCTATTTTGAAATTAGACTATTGCATCAGACTGATATAGCCAGTTGGAGACTGAAACTGGTAATGAATGTAGCAATCAGTTTAGTGAGCCATTGAGCGGTGGGAGACAAGCAGCATTTCATCTTCTAAGGTCTTCACTGACTGCTTAATTGATTCCAGAAGATGTTTAAGATGTTATAATTCACGTGAGTATACAGAATTTTTTATTATCCAATGTCAATTTACCACAGATGTCACTAGCTTCTCTAAAAAGGGAAGCTATCAGTTTCAAGAGAACTTGAGACTGATATCTTTGCCCTTTCCTCTCCCTTGCTCCTTCATTTTTCCCTTTTCACCATACATACGCATTGAATCAGATGTGTTCTCCATAAAAGCTCAAGAACTGCAAATGTTACTTCCAGCATCACCTGACTCTGAAACTGTTTGAGTGCAATAATCTTCAGTTTCATGTTGTATAGTAAGCCTTCTGAGAGGGCAGAAATATATTGGAAATGTTGCATCCTACCAAAATTAGAGGTTGTAAAGGAGTCTGCTGATTTTCCATTTAAGTGATGCTTTAATATTGATGTTATTATCTGTATTATCTTATCAATAGTTAGGGTACTTAGGGGATAAGTGCATACAATTTTTATAGTAAGGAAAAAGGTCTTCAATTCTAATTAAAATTACAACATGTGCCATTCATTTTTATGCATTAGCAATAGACCTAGTCCCAGTGAACTGAATTATAATAATTGAACAGTAAAATAGTATTATATATATTACATAACTTGCACTAAATTTTAATTGCCAATCATACACTTCTTCTGAGAAAATGTACAGAGTATTTTGTAAATTTTTACACAAGTAGTAATTGGAATGAATTGTCCTAGCTGAACGTTTAAGGCACAAGAAATATATGCATGCAATTATACAGGAAATAATAGCATATGAAATGAGAAAAATGCATGGCTTTCTTTATTAAAAAACCCTGGATATAATTAATAGTAAAATAGATTATATTTAGAAACAAGAAAGCAACTGTGGTGAATACAACGAAATACACATATCCAAAAGGACAACCATAGCACTAGACAGAATTTTAATTCTTATTCTGTCTACAACAAACACATAACCACATATGAATATTCCTTTAATGCTGTCTGATTATATATACAAGATATATCTTCATTTACCATTTCATAATAATCCTACACTGAATGAGAAACAAAAATTAAAATTACGAAGTTTTAATATTGCTTCTTACAGATAAGCTTAGTTCCAATGTCAGCGTTTCCTCAGAGTAAAGGTGGTAGTGCTGCAGCAGAATAAATCTCACAGAATATCGTTGTTTAAAACCTCAAAATGAGAAAGCTGTTTCTGCAGTTAGTAGAAAGGGATGAGAAATTCCAGGCCTAGGTTTATACAAAAATGTATTTTTCGAAATTATAGGTTATATGGGAGCTGCTGAGTCACAGCCTGAACCTCTGATTGATCACCTGAGGCAAGCAATGAGTCAGCCATGGGAACACAGGTGAAGGCAATTCTCCTGTGCTGCCGGAAGGGGTGGAGCCTGGCTCCACCTCTCCTAGACCTATTTAAGAGCTGGCTACCAGTGGGGAAGGATCTTTTCTGGAGATTCATCCTCTGGAGTTTTGCAGCAAGCCCAGAATGTGGGTAAGCATCCTATTTATTTATTTATTTTGTTATTTTAACCTGCTTAGTTGAGCTCTCTTGTTTCTTTCGTAATTATGACATCTTTATATTCTTTGATTATATGTGGGTGGATGATATTAAGCAGCTTTTAAACTTTCCAAGGCTAGGATATTTCAAAAATAGAGAAATTAAGTTATTAGTATGGTAGCAGGTAATGTTTCATTTTCTGTATTTGATTGATGTAAATATATAAAAAGAATACTGGAAGTTTCATATTAGACTAATTATTTACAGTTGGCAAAGAACAGTGTGTGCACTGTTGTATTCTATTGTAACAGTGATGGAAGCATGGTGCAATGACCCTAAAACACTTCATAGGATATTAATTTTGAAGCAAACATACAAAATGTAACGTTTACCTTCACTTAGTTGCACAGCTTTCCATAAAATGCTTTTCTAGCCCAGGAAACATAAAAGTGTGATATGATGAAATATACATAGTGTTCAGGAGATGTCTAAGCAACAGATAATGATAATTATTGGGCAAGGGTGTTTTGTTCCTGAATAAATCACTTTAAGCTGTCTTGTAGACTTGGCTAAAAAATTAAGGCCTGGAAATAATTTAATTGCAAATTGGATACTAGAAACCTCATTTAGTCCAAGTAAATTCTTTGTCTTATACACTATCAAATATAACGACCCTAGCATACATTTCACATACAAGTATAAATTACGCAGCTATGATCTGATTTCTGCTACTTAGCTATATAACAAAATCTTTGTGTAAAGGGATATAATTATTTGAAATTGCTCCATCAAATAGCTTCCAAACATATCTCCAGGTATAGGGTTGTTATGGAAACAGAAACTTTGTTATGTGTATTGTTGACTATACTTTTAAACCAAAAGGCAACGGCTAAATTTTCATTTGTGCACAACAACTATTCTGAAATTTTAAAAAAGAGTTCTATGAGTTGCGTGAGTACTTATGCTTAAAGCTCAGATTGGGGCATGGGAAAATACTTGGAACAGATGCCTTTCAATGTCTGCAGGGGAAGTTATATTATTTAACTGACATCAAAAGAATGTAATTAAACACCTATGGTGGCTAAACAAAATAATAGCAAGTAGAGGCTTCTTCATATTACATTAGGTAACTACACTCTCACAAATGGGTTGGGCATTTCCTCTGACAGCTCATATATGAGATCTGATTTGGATTAATTAAAATCTGTGGTAAAAAGAGCATGTACATTTGTTCCACATCAGAAAAGTGAAAATAATTAACAATTCATCTGTGAGTGTAAGCTTGCTACTTTGAGTAGCTTTCTAACATGAAAGGTGTTGCCTGTCCTCGAAGAACTTTAATTGAAAGTACATGAATTAAAATACAGATTGTCACATAGCTAACCACTAAAAAGCCTTGTACTTTTGAATCCTCACTGTACAATTTAAGCAGAGAAGAATTTTAGGAGTCAAAATTTGCCTAAAATTTTGGGGTTTGAAACTTTTTGATTGTCTAATAAATATTAAGTGTATTTTTCCATTTACAACTGAAGACTTTTGATTAACTAACAACTATGGTTTTGTCTCTTAATTTTTAATTTGTTTTTAAAAGTGCCTTCATACAGAAATCCAGTCTGTAGATACCTGGAATATAAAATGCATCAACTTATCCCTGATAGGCCATACTCTTTGTAAAGAAAGGCTACTTGTAAGACAAAATAATTTATAATAGCATCTTTTGGAAGGCTGAAATCATGTAAAACTCTCATTATTTTATTATGTTTGGAAAATGTACATGATGTCTACAATAAATTATTAGCAACTGCCTCAGGTTAACAGAACCCTCTCCTTTTTTTGGCTTGGCATAATATCTTCACGGGGCAGCTAAAAAAAACTTCAAGTACATTAAGTCTGTTTCCTAACCTTTTTTTTTTATTTTAATCTTAGATACTATTCCCTTGTTAAGTCATCAATATGTGATGAGAATGTAAGAATTTCACGATCTCCTGTTCCTGGCAGTGGCCAGGAGAAGGATTTTAGAGGAAAAACTAGCTAGCGTAGTCAGGAGAAAATTCTTCCCTGTTTCTTCCTCTCCTCCTCTTCCAGAGCATCCATCAATAAGCAGGCTAGGGACTTCAATTTAGCTGAATCAGGAGAGTTCTGATGCTATACAAATTACATTGTCTTGCATAACAAATCAAGTTATACAGTATTTTTTTTTGATGATTCAGAACAAACCAGTTCCTCAGTTTTGAAAGACTTAACGGCAACGCATCTAACTGTATCTATTGTACACTGAAGACAGTGCACTCTATATCTCCCATAAATGAAAGCAATAGTTTATACATTTTCCATCGAACAGAAGCGAAGATATAAAAGGATGAATAAAAAAAATCTACATAATGAAACAAGGGAATATTAACCAAATAATTTTGTGCTTTGAGAAAATTCTGAGGGTGTGTTTTTGTGCATGTTGAGCAGAGACATGCTTTCTTGCCTCTTTCTTCTGCAACACAAGATTTCAGCTATCCTTTATATCAACGTGTCCTTCCACTTACTCCCAAAGTACATACAGAAAATATATATAGTGTAGGTTTTGAATAGCAAGGACAAATCCTGGGGAATTAATGACTACTATAATAGTGCATTGTGGACAAACTCCTGCGAAATTGTAGGCTAAGTCCTGCTAAATGTTTCCATTTCAGCTGGCAGGCCATATAATAGGAAATATTTGCTTCAGCTATATGCAGCAAGATCTCCCTGGATTATGGTAATAGGGAAGCTGTAGCCTGTCCTGCTTCTAATGCAAACTTCAAAATGGAATTGCCAGTGTGATTTCTTTTATAGGAAGAGTCACAAGCCTACAGGCATATAATGGGATTATTTAATATAAGTATTCACAAATTCTGATGTGGAAATAAAGCAATCCTCACTGGCATGAATACTTACAGTCTCTTTAACATATCAGTATTAACATCACATGGAAAAGTCAGTATTATGGGGACTGCAATCCTTAAGGCTTTTTAAGTTATAAAACGTGTGGTCTGGCATTTTTCTGATTGATAAAAGAGGGACTGAGTGGAATGCCTGTATCCAAACAAAAGCTTTTTTTTTTTTTTTGAGAAGTAGGTTGTTTTGTGTTCTTTAATCATTCTTTACCTTCTACAAATTGAAAATAAAATTCTTTAGTAGCTCTGAGTAATGAATGTAGAGCATTTGTGCCTTCATCCCATCAGAGGAATAGACTCAATGTTCAGTGCAAGAAAATATTTTGTGTGCAAGAGAACATTCAACACAGGTCAGACTGTTGTTGATAGGACGCGGAGAACAAAGTTTAAAGAGTTTTGCTAAGTGAAATAAGTTTTAAATAGTTGTCTTGGGATTGAGAGTCTAACCGGTTTGTGTCAAATAATACTGTTCTTTATCTTATGTTACGCTAGTTCCTCTGACAAGACACTACTGCAACTGGAAAATGACACCTCGTGACATTATCACAACTTGTTATTGGCAATGTATGCAGTTTTTAAGTTCTTAAATGATTGACAAAGATCTGTTGAAGATGAAGTGGTGATTTTTTTTTTAATAGCTAAATGGGTATTTGCTATGCAAAACAACAAAGAGGAAGGTCAAAAAGCGTTCATGTGTTTATTTCAATTGTGTATTGCAGATAATATTGTTAGAATGACAACAACTGGAGATTCTTTGTAACTAATACTAAAACATGTTCCAAATTTATAAATACCTTTTTATTCTGAGAACCTAAACCTGAAGCATAATCACAACCAACCCAGTGAAATGCTAACATCAGCCTCATTCCGATAGATAAAGGGAATTGAAAACAGAATTAAAGATAAATACTGACAGAGGTATGAGTGGTTTCTTTTCAAAGAATAGTAACAAATCTGGCTGTACATTAGTCCAACATCCTGCTCAAAGCAAGGCCAACTCTGATCAGATCAGGCTGCTCAGGGCTTCCTCTAGTCAGACAAACTAACAAGTACAAGGATTACTCAGCCTCTCTGGGAAGCCTGTTCCAAGACTCAATGTCACTGAGATTTTTTCCTTCTGTAAATTGGTATCTTGGTTTTTCCTGTTCTCCTGTCGCATACCTCAGTAAAGAGTCTAGCTTGATCTTCTTGTTAACCTCGCCATAGGTATTGGAAAACTGCTATCAAGTCCCTGTGAAGATTTTTTTGTCTTCGCGCTGAGAAGGCTCTACCCTTCATCCTCTCCTCATCTGTCATTATGCTCCAGTGAATTGTATTTATAATGTGCACATAGGGTAGAATAGATAAAAGTAAAATATTTGTGTAATGATTTTAAGAGATGTTATCTTAAAGCAAAAAAAAAAACAAACACATTTTTAGCTAAATCAAGTAGGAAAATAATTTAACAAGATCTGAATGATGTTTGGATATCACCTCAAAGCATTTTACTTCATGCTGTGAAGCTTGCTGTTACAAGATTAGGAAGACTATGCTGATTAAAAAAAAATAATAAATAGTACTACTACAAATCACAGAATCATAAATGAAATTAAACAAAATTCTTTCACATTTACAGAAATTATGTAATGAACAAAATACCCTTAAGAAGTAGAAGATGGGAGATGATGCTATTGAACATCAGTCATGGTCAGGAAGTGCAGGAAACTGGTAAAGATAAAAGGTACAAAGAGGAAGCAATGACAGAAAATATAGAAGAAAATAAATTTATGATATATATTAGGAAGAAAAGGAGTAATAACAAGCTACTGTTTTCTTAGTAAATAGGCATGTGGAAAAATTGTCAGTAAAACATTCAAAAGATTGTTCTGTTT